AATAAATAAATAAAATAAAAAATCTGATATGGTACCGATACATTATGCATCCCTAATAGTTGTACTGTGTTGATCATTATGCTTACAATAGGTCTATCTGCCTTGCTTAATGTTGCTTATAGCCTTTCTGTTAACCTATACACTGCTCAGTACACTGGCTCTTACCTTGTGATCATTGAAATAACTGTAATAACCATCAGTAGCAAATGTGTCCATTAAAGGGATAGTTCACCTTTAGTTGCTTGTACCCATTGACTTCTATAGTATGAAAAACATGCAAGTCAATGGGGACCAGCAACTGACGGTGAACTATCTCTTTAAGAATGTGCAGTCTGCGAATTATAACACTGGTGTTCATTGCTGCAACCCTTCTCCAAACCAAGCATTTCTCTCTAAATGAGGAATATTGGCTTTGTCAAGCCCATTTACTTGCACGTTTTTTTTATACAACTCATCCGTGCAGCCTCGTGACAACATCTGAGTGGTCATATGTTTGATAGCCAGCCTCGGCTGGAGCTCTGTGGCCAAAGAATAGAGATGACCAAGGAAGGCCATTTATTCATTCTGTACAATCAGTATACATTACATGAAGTTGTGAAGAATATGGGGTTGGTGGGTAATGTGTTTATCAAATGCAGATGTTTGGCGTCAGTGCGGGTATGTGGTGCCGGTAAAGCTGCAGTTATAGAGCGCCTGTCTGTTCACTCTTGAAGAAAAGACACGGCCATTAGAGTCCTGTGGGAGACACTTCACACCTGACTAGTACGCCGTCACTTCTTTTGTCCTCTCTTAATGAGGCTTCACTGCAGACTGTTGTCGATTATTCCACTCGCTCATCCACGTGACCGTGCACTGACTGCTGTCCAGGGCAATGCTGGCAGGTGCACAGAGAGCTATCACTCCATTGCTTCAGGGATCTTACTAGCTACAAATTGCTGTGTATTTAATGGTTTGAGTAGATTTTCAACAAAGATGTGTACACTCAGGAGCTTTGAGCTTTGATATGCTTTTTTTTTTTAGTTTAGTTTTGAGTCGTTACTACATGAAGTCATACAGAACAAAGCGCCATTTTGTCATGCTGAAATAACATGCTTTTAGAAAATTCTAGCAACAGCAATAGTCACTAATGTTTCAATAAATCATTGTTTATTAATATTAATTGGAATATGTTTATTAATTGGAATAAACAAATTCTTCAGCCAAGTATATGGTTCATGTGCTTAACTGTAGCAACTTGGCACATTAATAAAGACGCTGGCGTACAGGACCCTCCACAGCCCCCATAGAGCAAGGGGGGCCCTAACCCAATTATATTATGAGCCAGCTATGTTATGGTTAAATCTGAGTTCACTTTCTAAATGATAGAAATCTACAAAGGTTATCCGTACAGTATTTCACCCAAGAAAAGCATGAATTAAAAAGTTTGTAAGTGAGGCTAAGTTGCAAAGATATAAACTGTCTGCATGCTGTCACCACCTGTGGGCGGGGTCTCAAGATTTATGAATATGTTGCGTTTATCTGCATTTTGCAAATGAGTTGGAACTAGAAATGAATTATACTTTATAACAGCAGTCATACCAGTATGTTCCAATAAAGTACTTTTCAGTGTTACCGATCAGTTATGTAAAAAAAAAAAAGCCAATATATTTAAGATGATATATTATAGACAAATTATCATATGACCCCATATTAGTTCTAGTTAGCCTAAAAAAAGTAAATAAATAAATAAATCCTTTAAAATGAAAATTAAAACAAAATTTAAAATATATATATATATTGTGGATTTTTTAAATGAAAAAATCCAGTGCGATCTGAGATTTTGAAAAACAATAAGTGAATGAATGACTAAATAAATAAGTGGAGATATCTAAAATTTTCAGTCAGTCAAAATGTAGATTAATATCTAATATATGTCAGTATATTGGTTATTGGCTCCAGAATATAAGTATTGTTGTCTTTATCTGTGAAAATCTCCATATCAGTGCATCCCTAGTCAGCATCATCCATTTTATGTTGTAATTCTCTGTTAATCATTCCATGTTCAGTGTTTCCACGTAGAGTGTAATTTTTCTGAAGTAGACTAATTGTAGCGTGCATTTCTCACACATTGTTCACGCTGTAAGCATGTTCTGCATAAGCACCTGTTTCATGATAACGTGTTTTGCTTTTGTTTGCTTAATTGTGCAGGCCTGCTGGTGTTGAATTATCTTCTACAGGGCTCTCACTCGAACGTGTTCCTACACACACAATAATCAGGTACGATCAGAGGGAAGTGCTGTGGCAGACCGTATGCCTGTACAGCCATTCATCACGCCCCACACAACGCTCACATCTCTCCTCATTATGAAGCTCCTTCTCTACAAAAGCAAAGAAAAAACACAGCCTTTTCTAGACACTTTTTCATTCTCAATTTCCCTCTGTTTTTTTCCTCTGCCCATCTGTCTCGTTCCCTGGTCTGTTTCTTTTCTATCCCTGTTTCTGCTATACTCTTTTGCCCTCAAAAGCTTTGCTTTGTTCCTCTCAATCTGTTTCTCCCCACCCCCGTTTACCCCCCTCCTCTTCTCTGTAGCTGAGCTCTAGTATTAAGGTACAGCAGCAGTGGATATCGGTGTCTCCCATGCTGTGCTTTAGACGTGTGTGTGTGTGGCATGTTTGCATGTGTATTTGTGACCATGGTTGAGACAGCATGGCTTTATCACTGAGTTAAGTGCTGTCTGTTTTGACTCTTTAAGGAGGCCAGCTGTATCTGTAATCCCACCCAGCTGATTGTCACAGAGTTGTCTTTCTCTCTTGACTTCTTCAATGTATCTCACATAAACTGAGGAAGAAGATGTATAGAATCATTAACTTTACTTGAAGATAGCGCTAGCCTTGTAGCCTACAACACTGTAAGGTTACTGGTTTAAAAAGGATTTACAAGTAGAGTTACTAAAAGCATTGTATTATGTATTGCCATTTTGCACTTAAACATGGCATTCAACCCTGTTGTAAAATGCTTTGAATGAAATAAGGCTGCTAAATGACAAATCCCCCACAGCGGTGGCATGTTGTCCCTATAAATTAACTGAGTATTTACAGTCTCTGGATCAGGTCCAGATACACCAACCCTGGCTTCTGGCCACCTTAAGCTTAGCCACCAGCCCCTGCAGCCCACCTGACCCTCAGAACCTAGCTTTGTCATTTTCCCAAGATTTCTATGTTGATTAGTAGGGTTTTCATTTAGGATCAGTGCATATACTGCACAGTGTGATCCAGAGACTGAGACCTATTGTTATTAATAATAATACTAATAGTTTAATAAATAATAATGTAAAATATATTTTTTATATATTTTTAATTATTGTACATTTTAAATATATTTTTTATAATTTTCATTTAAAAATATTTTTTAGATTGAATATATATATATATAATTACTAGACGGACATGCATTATTTTTATTCTGCACTGTCATTCCGTTACATCTCATTTGATGTGTTATGATTGTATATGAAGTTGACATAGGCTTTCATTTTGGCCCCATGCCAGGTTATGGGTGTGTGTGTGGGTGTGTATTGGGTAGGGGATGGTCAGAGTGCTTGCTGTCTGTTAATGCTACAGCTTGGCTAATTTGTTCCATGGTTTGCTCTTTGTGTTGGTGGTTAGCAGGGGGTGAGCATTGTCCTTCATTACCCTAATCACTGTGAAATTACTCCAATGGACATTATCCAGGCCTGAATATAAAGGAGGATTGCATATCGCACATTGGGAAATGTTGTTGAGTAAGAAAGAAAGGTCTAGCTGAATACAATTTTTTTTGTTTCTTGCATTGTAGAAAAGGATTTTAAGCTTAAGCTAATATTTAGCATTTAAAGTGTTAGTGTGTTTAATTTATTTAGCAAGCATGTTTACTAAGATGAAAACGTGTATGCTCATGTAAACATTACCAACTGGCCTATTTATATTTTTGGTGCATGTTGGCAGCTTATTCGGTGTGGTGTTATTCATGTTGGCTAATTTTTTGACATAAGAAAAGTCTGATGATTTCCATATGTCATGTATGCCAACATGATTTTGTTGCATTGTCTGGTTTCTATGTTGAGATTATTTTATTTTTTCAATAGATTTCAGCATTTTGTTGTTCAGGTAAACACACTCATTATTGTACCTCCAGTTACTGCATTTGAAGAAGAGCTTCTTAAGATTTTAATAAATTTTAATATCATAGTTTTATGCATCCAGGTATTTTTGCCTATTGTTTCATTATTTTCTGACATAATACTCATTTGATATAGTGCTTGTCACATATTACAAGAAAGTAGGCATATTCATATGAAGGGTTCATCTTTTTAAATCTCTCTATAATTCTCTTTATACAACAGTTCCTGGAATTTGGTCATAATATATTGACGACCTAGACTCCTAACATTTATGGAAAGGTGTGATTCCCCAGTCTGTTTCTGTAATGACTATGTATGCAGACAGTATCTCATAACCCTCATAACACAGCACCCCTTCTATGGTTTGAATATCATCAAGGTCAGAGTGAGCTCACATTAAAGATTCATGAGGGGTTTTACTACTCTCATTTGGTTGTTTTTTGCCATCCTCTCACTCTCTCACTATCCCCAGATTTGGACCCCCTCCCTTCACCTTTTCCCTTTCTCTTGCTTCTCTTTCACACTCACTACGATATCTTTCTTTTGCATCTCTTTATAGCTTTTAGTCCCAGCTGGTGCAAGTGACTCTGGTGTCTCTGCATCTAGCAACCAATCCCAAATCAACACACACACCACAATGATGCATGTGCTTCTTACCTCGGCCCCCAGCACGTACCCCAGTTCCCTATTGCTTGAAGAATAGTGTAACCCTTGATAGCAGGGCAATGTGATAACAGAGAGTGATTGCAGGTGGATGCTGGATTAGTAAAGGAGAGCGAGACTGTATGAGTAAGCGCGAGCGAGAGAAAGCGAGAGAGGAGGGGGAAATGGGAGGTGCTGTATCAGCCAGGCTGAGCCAGGACACAGTAGCCGCACAAGCAGCGAGCTGAGCTGAGGGATCTATTGTTCCTCTAGCTTTTTTATTTTTTCTGCTCCACTCAGACCTCATTCTTCTCCACTGACACAGAGAACACAGTGAAGAAGAAATAAAAGGAGGGAAAATAGAGGAGTAAGTGGAGAAAGATAGAGACAAGTGGATTACCCTTTCCTGGAGGAACCGCGTACAGAAGAGTGAGAGGGACAATAGCAGGCACACTTTCCCCTGTGCCGCATCTTCTCGTGCATACATCTCCTGCTGAGTGTGTGTGTATCGTGCGGGTCTGTTTGGCCAGACTTGATCCGTGTGGATCTATCTGGCCGTGCTGAAGCCATGGGGCTGGCCAGCAGGGCAGCAGGAAGAGGGGGCACTTCAGCATGGGCTCTTGCCACCCTCTTCAGAGTAGCTCTGCTCTTTTTTGGGCTATGGGATGTCCAGACGCAAACAGTCGCCAACACAAAATCCACCTACATCTGGCAAACAGGTATGGCTGTTTTATCTAAGCACAAGTATATACTGAAAATCTTAAATGTTGGTTGGTTTTTCGAGTGTGTTCTGTTGTGCTCAGAGACAGGCTTATGATGATAAATTGATGCTGACTTCATGCCAGAGTCAAAATTAGATTGTCCCAGTGAAAGTACATTCATCGGAGGTTACTTTTAATAGGCTATGGTATAATTCATTATGCATTTAGGGTAAAGACATTTTATAAATAAGTCCCGGCACTTAGTTTTTGTCAAAGCAGTGAGAATATTCTAGGATATGCTGTTGCTAAAGAGTGCTTGATATTTTCAGAATGTGTGGGGTGGTCTTCGATTCACTGGTAACCCACCAAACTTTTATGAGATGTGTAACCCCCATAGTACATTCTGCAAAATAAGAGACATGGTTGATTCTCTAAAGGAAGCATGAACTTGATTTAGGTTGATTGTGCAATAATTAAGCACATGGATATTCATGCAACGACCGTGAATAAGTAGTGAGCTTTCCAAAAGCAGCATGGTCAAAACAACTAGTGTGATGCCTTGAGAATACCTTGCCTACAAGGTTTTGTAGGTGAATATTGGAGATGTCTGAATTACCTGCAGAGTCATGCTCTGGTTAAGATAAGTGTTTGGTGGAATGTAAAGCAGGAGTCTTTTTCTCAGTGTTGTTAGTGAGTTATTTGGTTTTGTGGTAGTATCGGGATGCAGATTTGTCGTGTATGGGACATCACCGGCAGTGGAAGTGGGGGGTTGGAATAGGCTGAAGGGGGTGAATCTGTTTCGGGTACTTGTTGGGATGGGGAGGGGTAGGATGGGATGCTGAAATAGTTCCCCTGGACTGGCCACAAATCGATGGGTCATTTGGCCAGGATCTCAGGCGAAAATGGATGGAGAATCTGTGGATCAATGAAGAGGGTGCAGCGGGGCCACTGGTGTCCTGCTGGAGTTGATCAATGCACAGCTTCACGGCTAGACAGAATTTAGATCCTGCAGGATCAATGGTGAATTCTGAACTCTCTGGTCTAACTCAGAAGGAGCCTGATCAATGTGTGGGGTGCAAATCTGGAAAACAAGGTGTTTAATAGATCCATGGATCCAAGAAGTGGGTTTAGATTATTTTAAGAGCACACTATAAAACATCTGATGTTTATGTGACAACTCTAATAATGTGAGGGTTCAAGGAGAGGTGGTAAATTTTAATGCTGTTCTGTCTGGCAAAGTGAATGTTACTTTTATTCTAGTATATCTTTACGTTGTTCTTCTTGTCTTCTTCTTGTAGTGTTGTAGTGGTACTGGAAATATCATGGTAGTGCGGTGCAGTATCCTGCCCCCACTACTGTGACTGAGTGCAGGAGATTAAACATGGGGTGAGGGAGGACAAGCAGATTGGCTGGAGCAAGTTAACCTACATACACCAGAACTTCGCTTTTGCATTTCCCATAAATACACATATAGTAAGTCCTAAAACTGAACAAGTGTTTGGTAAGTGCTTGACCTCAAAATCCCATGCAATGCCATTTAAGCAAACCTCAAGCTTTCATGGGAAACATCCATCTCCTTCTGTTGTTGTTGTTGTTTTTTCTTCCTCCATAGATTTCCAATACTTCACTCAGTTTTTTTAGTGTTTTGATATGTAGGAACAAGGGGTCAAAGCGGGAAGAGACTTGTGCGACAGCGTTAACCTGTCTGCAGGGCTCATATGGGACCAAATCCATGTTTTGATGAGAACACAATAACTTTTGTGGCTATGACAATTGGCCCTGGCAGTGTGCATCAGTACAGAGGCTGATGTTCACCAGTCAGCAGAGAGTTTATTGTTGGAAAAACATTCCCTGTTGTTCCCCTCTGGTGGCCCTACACGGAGAAGGGTGTCAGAAGCCTGGATTTGTTCTGTGGCAGCACTTTTGACACTTTTATCACTATGCAAAACATACTTTCATATTTAATCAGATATAATACATTTTTAATCTTTTGAGATATGTACCATGACAACACACTGTAGCTTTCAGTTCTCAAAACTACCTACTCAGTTTTATTGAAACTAGGATACAAAATTACTTTGTTCTTCAGACAAATCAATACATCAACACCAAATATGGCCAACATGTTTACATATCAATAACCAGTTGGGTTGCCAGAAGGATACTCATTTCGCATTCAAAGGGGGGTATTTCTGAAAGGCACAGCAGCAAGAAACTCTTTCATTTTAGACTCTAAGAGTGGATGGAAACCTGCTGTCAATCATCTATAATTAATTTCAGTCCTGAAGGATTTGACAGTGCAGTTTGTTTTTACATGTCCCTGTTTTCAGGGCTGTGAGGCTGTATTTGAAGACTCTAGGGAAGTGTCTGGCCCCGTTTATTGCCTTTTATCTTCCAATTTTACACTGTAAACAGTACCCCTTTTTAACACCATTGCTGTGAAGGCCATATTGGGACCATGACTTCATTTTGTAGATTTTATTGCAAACAAGTCTCGGGTTTTGATGCTGCTTTGTATTGCTTTCACCTCCAGGGGTTTACCTCTGTATGACTGTCACTCTCCGGGGCCTCTATATGGGCCATTCCCTGCCCTACAGCTGTCTGAAATAGTACATACACACTGATCTTAATCGACAGGGCTGAACTCTCTCCCCGGTCAGCATTGTGCCTAGTGGTGGCGTACATGTGGGAGGAAGCTATTGAGTCTGGCAGGACCCTTCCCCCATTCACCCCACCCATGCTGTCCAGCAGATGAGATGCCTTTTATTCCCTCTGAATGTGTGAATCTGCCTTTACTGCCCCATTCACTAACGTCCACCCTTCTGTTTCCTTCTATCAGCAACGTTCACCTTCTCCTTCAGCATTCTTTTCTTTAGGTCAACCTTTGACCCTGTGGTTAAAGAGGTCTTGGAAGGGCATGTCACTGCAGGAGAACATGGGGTATCTATCGGTGGCAGGAGGCCACGTGTCAAGCGGTTAATTTGAACATTTTCACTCAGCCAGACTTTAATACCAAAGACGCCACCTGAGGACTGAGCAGCAAGACTCTCTTTAGGCCCCAGGATCCAGGGGAAAATGCATCCATGTGCATCTCGGCTTTCTCAGTGTCCTCTGATATGGCTAATCATGGGGAAAAACAGAGAAGGAAAACATATGGAAGTGCACAAACATTCCCTAGGCAATCAAGCTGTAATTATGCCCAGCCATCAGCCTGAATTTTGTGTGCCGAGTTAGACGCAACCATTATAAGGAGGGATGAAATTGAGTTTTCTTTCAGATTCATCAAGTGCCAAATTGCTGCTGCTTGTCTGAGTACTTTACTTGAGTACGGTCCAGCTGCTCACAACAACCTGCCTGACAAGTGCCGCCCACCCGGAATGGTCCGCCTCACACAAGAGCCTTGTCACTTGGCTGTTTTAGCTGTCATGGTTTTTGTCATCATTTTCCACGCTTCTCTTCTTTAATTGTGCGTATCAGTTTTGCACTAGGTCATCTCCTCCTGCTGCCGTTTGTTGCTTTAGGTTAGCATCTGTGTGCTCCCTTACTCTTTTCTTCTTCTTTCGTCCTGGAGAGCGTTCTTCTTTCGTCCTGGAGAGCGAGGGGGGAATCCTGGGGAATCCTGATGAGTGCCCGCCAAAAGATGACAAAAGACAGACTGACAGTGTGATTTGTTCCACTTGCCCCCTTCTCTCTTTCCCTTTTCTTTTGCTCACACATGCACGCTTGCACCTCATTAGTTTGCTAAGAATGGATTGCCGCCTGCCTGTGCTTGGGGGAGCAGTTGTAATTACCTGGGTGTGTGGCGCAAACCCTTTTGTCATATCTAAAGGCAGCTTTCTGACAGAAGATGCTGAGAAGGCAGCTTCTGTTTTTTTTCCCACTGACAAATTTATGTTCCTCAGACATTGCACATATTTAGATAGTCCGTAACACCAAATAAACTGATGATGATTTCGAAAATTAATTCAAGAACTGCCCTTTGATTTCAGACTTAGTCAGATAAGCTTGTAACTGATGACAGTACTAAACACATTAGTGGAATAGCACAATGTGCTCCTGATGCCTTTCTTCTCTTTCATTCACTATAGCTCACGTTCCTGCAGTAGGCCGCTTAGCTTTCCTGAAACGTGCAAAGGGATTGCACTCATTGTGCTAAACCGCTTTAAATTAACACCTGAGTCATACACTTCCTGTCCAATGCCACCTATAGAAGACCTTTCTACGAATAATTTACGAATAATTTTACGAAAAGATCTGATTTGTGTCTTTGTTCTCCCACCCATATACACATACCTAATACACACTTGCACTAGGAAAATGTATATTTCCTATTGAGGAATGTTGTGTTTGAGATAGAAGTTACAGTGATTATGTCACTTGCTCGCTTTCTCATCCCGTACTTTTTTTTCTATCTGTTATGTCTTAGACACACACTTGAGTGCCAAGCTTGTCTCTGAGGGGCTGAGCTGAGCAGTGGCATACTTTATTGCATAGCGACTTTTCTGATGAAGATATAAATAGCAGACAGGTTGAGCCATGCAGCAGCTGAGCTCCAGCTCTAGATCCATGCTACAGCCGCTAATAGGAGAAAACCTGGTGGTGGTGGGAGTGAAAGATGGAGAATAAACAAGAACAAAAGACTGTTTGTCATCTTAGTTGATTCTTTGGTGGTGCGCTAAATTTTCACAGCGCGCTTGGATAAATGCATTTGAGCTGATGATCGCTGCCTCGCACACAATGAAACACCTGCAGCTTTTGGCATGGGTGGCACAAGTTGGCAATGAAGCAGAAACTAAATAATGCCTCTCTGATAGGTAACCTCAAGGTTTATTCTGATTTTAATTATAGTGGCAGACAAAAAATCATTATGGATGAATGAGAATTTCTTCATTAACAATCCTCACACACCCAGTTACAATGAATTAACACACACACACACACACACACACACACACACAACATATAGGCCTAACTCGTTAATTTCAAGTTTGTTTGGTATGTTTCGTCTGTTTTTATTG